GAACAGTAGAACTAGGGGACACAAATATAAATTTTGGCAGGGTAGGAGTCATCTTCAGCTATGACAGTTTTATTTTTCTGACAGGGTGGTTGGCTTTTGGAATGGGTTGTCTTTGGCTGTTGTAGAGGTAATACATTTCAGTGAATTTAAGAAAAAGTTTAATAAGTATACAAATGATAATGGCTGGCTTTAACATTTTTAATTCTTTGTATAATAGTTTTAGTTTAGTTTAGAGGATGGGACAGCTGAGATGGAGCAATAGGTCCTATGTTGTCCCAAAACATTATGTTATGTTTTGCAGAGTAACACTGCTGATATACTTGATCTCAAAATGTAATATTTTCTTTCAGCAATAATCTGAGGGTATGTTCATTTTTATAAATATCACTGTTATTTTTAGGTTCTACATGTAAATGCAATAAGCTTTTTTTTATAATTTTTTTGTAAGTTGGCTTAAAGATTTGCAGATCTCCAAAGGTACTCAACAGCACATTATTCTCAAGTTAATCAATTATTGGAATGGGGAATGCAATATTATGCATGCTACAAAAACCTAAGAGTTAACAGATAAAGAATATTCATACATTATAGTTTAGCATAAAGGCAAACATTGAAAAATACACTTAAACTTGATAATAAAAGGAATATTTCTTTCATGCCAATTGATAAACCATATCCAACAAACTTACACATAATGTCGGCTCTCAAGGTTGTAACATGGGTAATAATGCCTACAGAATAAAAACTGTATTTAGAAAATATTGAACAGTCTTGTACAGTCTACACTAATTATTCTGAACAGATGGTCAGAAAACAGCCTCATATTTCTATTAAATATATTATTCAAAGTCTTATATATAATGTATTATGAAACAAAAAAGCCTGAAAAAAGTAAAGTTTACTTAGTTGCAATTTAACTTTCTCATGCTCAAAAGCACAAATGATGATGAATAGTCATACCAAAAAAAAAACCAAGAATTCTAGGTGTGACTGACTCAATGAAAATAAGAAGCATTGTAAGAAGACTTAAAAGCATTTATTGTTGTTTATAATAATAAAGATTCTCAGTTGTGTTTATTTGCTGTTTCTGGTTTCTACTGCTGTGTTTCTTGATGTTACACATACAGAGTTCATGGAATACTGAATAAATGGAAAATTTGGTGTGAAGTCCAGTATTTGGGACCACACATGTGTATCACAGTACTTAAAGAAAATCAACAACATATCAATGTCTCCTGATATGAAAATTAATTTAAATTATAAACACAGGTATAAGCTTATATTACTATATAATGACTAGTTTATTAACAGTAAGCTTGAAATTGTTTTTTTTTTTTTGTTATATTCACACAAAACTAAAATTCCTGCATTAATAAGAATACAGGGAAGGGAGCTTGTCAACCATGCCCACAGCAAACTCTTGGGCTACTTTAATTAAATAGTGGGATTGGACCATCATTCTTACAATGACATGATTCACCCATGGCTCAAAAATGTGGAGCTTGCTTTTGGTGCAATGGGATCCTTATGTCCAGCACACTAACCATTCAACCACTTCTGGACAGAACTTGGAATGATTATCAGACATCCTAAAGCTTGAAAGATGATATTAGTTACGGGCAAAGTTTTGATATATTCTGAATAACATGTGGCTTTAGACTGTCAATTTTTAAGTCTGAGACCCAGGAAAAATTTAACTTTTATGACAATAAAAATAACAACACATCCTGTCTCCTTGGTTATAATAATTACTTCTAGTATTTGTTAGATAAATTAAATGTAAAACGAATATATACATTCTAAAAATTACTTTACATATATATTTGTATATTCAAAACTTAAATATATATGACCAGAGGTGTAGGAGGTAAGTTAAAAGTGTGTGTGTTTGTATGCCACTGCTTATGATTGAAGGCACCTAACTGAAAATTTGGTGCAATTAATATTAACATTTTAATAAAACATTTATGCTTGTAACTGCAATCTAACATCAGTCTATTAGTGATAAATCAATTCAATCAAAGTTACAAAGAAATAATTTGCTAAATTTTTCTTGGTTATCTCTTTACTTTAGTATTTTAATTGTTTATATGTTCACAGCTAATTTCGTTTTAATACTTTGAACTTTAGCTACACGAATTTTTAAGAAAAATATTTATACCATATTATAAAGCACGAAGCAAGTAAACACCCCAGTACTGAAAAATGTCTAACTTGGCCTAGTTACAAATTAGTAGTAGTAGGTAATAGAGCCTAGTGAAGTACACCACAAACTTTCATAAACTTTCATAAGCCATGACTTGATACAAATACCACGTCTATCGCGGTACTGGTAATAACACCTAAGTATTATATGTACTCGAAAAAAATTACACTTACCCTACAGACAGGAAATAATACACAATTATTGAATTAGGATAAGGTTCCTTGCATTCTAGACTAGGCCTATCACACAGCTGTTTGACCCAGATATCACGTCACTCTCTCTACATTTAAACAACCTTCAGTTTTATGAATAGTTTACAATATAATAAACGTTATTAAGGTTACACTAAAAAAAAAAATCCTTGATAATGAAAGCCTTACAATTACGTGGTACTCGCAATTCAAATCTAAAAAACAAACAAACAAATAAAAAAGACAACGAAAATACTGTAAACGAATTTCAACACCACCAAGTCTATACTGAGTGAAACGTCGTTTCTTTTATATCTTCTAGCACCACCTGTAAAACTGAGAACTAAACAAACCATTTTGTTGCTGAGAATACTCTCATTTAAAACGTAAACCTATAAGCCTGATTATAATGCCTAAGTTATGGTAGGAGCAGAGGGCAACATAGTGGTTAGCGTGCCAGATTGTGGATCCGAAGTTCGAAGGTTCGTCTATCATTACCACAAAAAATAATAATAATTGCGCTCAACACTTCGGGTACGTTGGTGCATCAAGAGAGTGACAGTTAATTAAATTCTATGTTTGGTCAGGCAACAGTGTGCGATGAGTGGTGTTGACTTTCCTTTCCTTTAGTCTATCACGTTAAAATTATGGATGGCTAGCGTGTGGCTTTGTGCTAAATCCGACGAAAAAAAAAAAAACAGATTATAGTAGGCCTAATACAATAGCCGATAAATTTGATTTGTAGTTTGTACACTATAGAATTTAGCATCAGCCAAAGGATAGGCTCTCTTCCCTACAATTATGAAATGTTGTAATGACAGCTAAATGTTAAGCCTATTATTCAAAAGAAATGTTGCTTGTGAGTTTTAGGCCTAGCATGCACAGCATTTAATGGAAAATAAACTTATAATATCTGAACTTAGATTGTATAATATAATCCGATTGGATTTTAAAAGTACCAGTAATTTGAAACCAATTGTACTGGGTTAATACCTGCAAATTAAAATTGTTAGTTAAAATCTTCCATAACAGTATATGACCTAATACAGTAATCTGTAACTTTCCCCACGTTTATTCCAGCTTGAAAAGTCCTGACAAGTTTGTGCTGTAACTTACCTGCTGTTATTTATGCTACTTTCACTTTTGCCCCCCAGTAGCTCAGCGGTATGTCTGCGGACTTACAACGCTAGAATCCGTGTTTCGATACCCGTGGTAGGCATAGCACAGATAGCCCATTGTGTAGCTTTGTGCTTAATTATAAGCAAACAAACTTTCAGTTTCAAGATTTAACATTTTATTCAAAAGCGCTTGTGTTGGTTTGAACCTAATATATATATTGGCTTGTTAACGTCTGACCTACCTTCTTCAATGTATTCTTATAATCATACTTTGGCATTGTCAGTTTTGTTAATTTTTGAAAGTCTGTAAAACTTATAATAAGATTAAAGTTAAAACAATAATAAACACCCACTTTATCTTACATGTTTCATTAGGACTTACATATATATCGTTAGGGCTAAGTGTAAGATAGCGTGCCCCACTATAAAAATTTAATAAGTTGTTAGCATAAAAATTATCATTATAATGACAAAAGTGCATTTTTATATTAATAGATATTCTAATATAAATTAGACACAAACAATTGTACTTATCTGTAATCCAATATCCTATTTCTACAATTTCATTTTTAAAACAAACAGGACACATAAAGTTCTGAAATAGTAAAATCTTACAGAAACTAATTTAGTAGCTTGGTGATTATATACACTAATTCATTCATTTGCCTTAGTTGTTACGGGGCAACTTGTGTTTCGACCCACTATTGTAAATGCCCCATGAGTTTGATATATTTTGCTAAACATATTACATATGCCTTTAAAAAGTTTAAAACATATTTTTGAGAATTTTAAAATAATTCAAATCAAAGTTGAAATTACATACATTTTGTTGATTGTGTCAAAATAAGTTGTAATTTGATTAAATAAATTTGTACATGGAGTAACATCTTTATTATCATCAAAAATGTTGATACCACCTGATATGAAACATAAAATTAGTTTGCCTGTAGTGATCAAAATTGTTATTATCATTATATATACTCTAAATCTTTATTTCTCTCCTATTTGCTCCAAAATAGCGGTTTATCGTAATAAGTCTCTTTTTGGGGCTTTCGGTACATCAATCCCGGCACGAACACCCACTCTAATTGAAATTATAGCCCCACAATAACATTGTTTTTTTGGGAAGAAATTATTTACTTTTTGGTTTATTTGTTGAGAAGAGAAGAATAAAACCTTTAGAATAAAGCAATTTGCTGCATTACCCAGCAAAGACATAAAAGAACCATTAAAACTGCCAAATTATTCCCTACATTGTGCAATGGATCAGTCAACCACGTTGGCTGAGAAAAACTACACAGACGTCCGGTTTTGAATCCTGAACCGCCAGATTACTTTGTGAGTAACATTTTCTAAACATAGAAAATTCTTTTGTCCTTTATAAATTATATGTTTATTTTCATCAGTGCCGTAAAGATTTTCAGATAGCCTCGAACTTTGCCAAAATTTTACAATGTATTTAGGAAAATAACTTATCTCTGATTTGAAAGTTGACGTGTATATATCATACCTGAATCAAATAAAATTTCTTGTAATTGTGATTATGGTTCTATAACTAGCATGTAACATTACAGTTTGTCTAAAGATAAAAACGTACCAGCGTCTTTCCAACTTTAACACAAGTAATTAATGTAAAAAATTAATTTTCCTAAGAGAATATTAGTCCAATTATATGAAGCACAAAACGTTTTTCAATTGAATAAGTATGTTTACACAAGTGAATGTTAAAAATTATAAAAACTTGTTCCAAGCATGAGATAGGGAAATGCAAACAAAAACATTTTCTTCTCCCAACGAAGTAATTCTTGGTTGGAACTAATATAATGGTTGGAGACGGCTTGAATGGGTAATGAAGAAAAACTTTAATATAATTCTTATTCAGAGTTAAGATTCAATATTACGACAAACAAGTAACGACAGTTTTATGTGTCTTCTTCAGTACAAAGTTAGACTGAAGAGGGTATGTGAAAGTGTCGAAACATTTTACATGTAAACTTGTGTTCCGTAATAACGGATCTTAACTTTTACTTTACACAACATTGTGTATCTTCCTATTATTACGATTCTTATCCATTTAAAACTTTCTTGGTAAGATAAGAGTATTCCAAAAGCTGGCGGTTGGTGCAATTGATCAGCTCAAAATTAGTGCTAGCTTTGCGCAGATAGTCTTTGTGTAATTTTGCCTGAAAATTCTAAAACAAACGTACTATGTAAAT